ATTGAAAGGAGTTTCCATACATAAAAAGGTTTATTTTGATTCTGTTGACATGCATACAACTAAGCCGGAAACCCTGACCAAGGAAGTACGTATAGCTTATGCTTTAGCATGTGATGGTCAGGACTTTGTTAGAGAAACATAAGGAAAACTGAACACAAAACCTGAAAAGATTTTTGTCCTATTCAAAGGTTATTTATTTGAATTTGCACTGAAACTTTTTCTCCATAGCAAAGGTGCGTTTTCTTTTGTCAAAATTTCTCCCAGATTTCCTTGACCCTGACAGAAAGAAAGTAACACCCCAATTTTCTATTTTAGTTTGAAATAATAGTCATGGAGAATAAAGTCCCTACTAAACCGCGCGCCTGCTGGGAAACTGGCAATATTTAGCAACTTGCTTGCAAAACGAAAGTTAAAAAGTTTGCAAGAAATATGCGCTACGCTACCTAAGGTGTTATTAACAGTACATTTCCTTGAACTAAATTTTTTTGTGCACATCGCAATTGTTTTATTGAAATAATGTCTAACCTTAAAAAAAATATATGCAAATAATAATATAATTCTAAAAATTATATCCATTCAAAAAAAAGTCCTGCGAACAGTCCCAAAGGTCAAAATGAATTTTCCCAAATCTAAATTCAATTATAATTCCTAAAATAAACTATTCCGTGATAACCGAGAATCCGAGGACCGAGAACCGAGACCCGAGAACCGAGAACCGTGATTTCTAGATAGTATTAATTTTACCCCCATCATTTTTTTTTCACTTTTATATCGTAAAAACTTTTTTTTAACCGTAAACTTTTTTCTCCCACATTCATTTTCGTAAATAGCATTTATTCCGAGAACCGAGATCCGAGAACCGAGACCCGAGACCCGAGATCCGAGAACCGAGATTTTCGAAAAGTTTTCTTTTTTTTATAAATCTTCATCAGCCTATGGACTTGTTCGCATTAGCTAGCTTAAAATAAAAATCTGCAGTAAACTAAGGCCCTACACAAATATTTTTATTTTTGTTAGGCGCTCTCATAAACCAAGTCGCTGTTACATCTAGCGCAGAATGCTGACCTCCAAACCCCACTCATTTGAGAGTCGCATCCTGTTTTCGAATTCATTCCCCGTTTTGCCATTACAGCGAACCTCTTGAATAGTCTTGTTATAAAAGATGCAGGGTTTACTGGAAAGAGGATCATTAAAAAGCATTCTTCCCATTGTCGGCGCATGGCCCCTACAAGTCAATCCGGAGACTGGTAGTGAACATCTAATAGCATGCAGCCGTCCACTAACAAAGCACGAGAAGGACTATGCGATTACAGAGCTAGAGGCCCTGGCTATACTTTTCGCTTTGGAGCATTTCTATCCCTATGTCACCCATAGTTCAGATCTCGTGGGTCGTCTCGCCAAATATCGAATCACCTTACAGGCGTACGACTTCAAGCTTGAGTATCATGCTGGAAAGCACAATACTCTATGCGATTTCCTTAGTCGCTATCCTATTGCGGAAATAGCGCACAGGTGCATACAGTACTCTTTGGTCATATCCAGCAATCTCAGAAGGATTCCATTCACGGAGACCTCATCAAGTTCTACAACGCAGAGCTGGATTTCCCCCAGCAGAATTTTCCGACAATTTGGGCAGGTATTCTCTCTCTTGCATTTTTCACAATACATTTCGATAGATTATACTTGATAAGGCCTGTCAAGATAAGATACTTGGGATTTTTTTCTCATAAAAAGTTTTGGGGTGCGCCTTTAGGAGTGCGACAAAAAAAAAACAAAAAAAAAACCATATCTGCTAAATACTTTTAGAAATTTACAAACTCTTGTCAGAAAGTTTATTTGAAACTGCCCAACTTGCCAGAAAATCAAATACCTTCTGTAAACATCATTTGGAGTGAATTGGGTTTATTTCCAATTTCCCAACGACCTTTAAAACGTTTGCATACGGATATTGTTGGTCCTTTACCATCGTGTATCAACGGCAGTCGATTTATTTCTATAACCGTCTGTGCGTTTAGCAAACTCGCTACCTGCATCGCAATTCCTAAACAGACAGCAGATCCTGTTGTCAAAGCTATGGTAAACGGTGTCATAGCTAAACACGGCTTTTCTTATGAACTAGTGCTCGACCGTGGTTCTAATTACACTAATGAAATGTTTGCGAAAATGAACCGAGCAGTTGGCATTTCCAACATGTTCACCACTAGTTACAACCACAAAGCGAATGGGCAAGTCGAAAGGATGGTTAAAGTGATTACAGGCTGTCTAATGGCTTACTGTCCAGAAGCCAAAGAGCTATGCTCTGAATTTCTGCAGCCGATCTTCTTCGCCTACAGCACTAGTATCCATGTTACCGCAGGATAAAGCCCGTAGTTCGTTGCGTACGGTCGTATCCCGATTACCTGGTGCGACATAGTCCATCAGTTACCGTCGAGAATCTCCTACGCAACCGATAGTTTCAATTGACCACTGCACTACAAACAACAATCATGGAAGATGGCAACCAGATCGCTAGCAAGACAGCTACCAAAAATCAGGTTACGATTCCCATCACAAAGTGTGTTCCAAAGATATTTCCACTGAAGATTTAGTTTTACTAAGAGACGATACAGTCCAAAATTTACAACCAGTGGAAAGACCTTTTTATTGTTATGCAAGTCAGTCGTCTCAATGTCACTATCTCTAATCTGATTGGACCTACTAACACTCACTGTGTCCATATGAATAGACTCAAGATCTATTCTCATAGTTCAACATTGGCTAGAGTTTTCCTCCAAAAACTCACTATATCACCTATGCCAACGGAAATTCCAGAAAATGTTGAATCAACAGAAACTGTTCGACGATCTCACCGTCTGCAGCTCAAACAACCTCTTAGAGCATTATATATACACTCCAATCTCGATGGAGAGAACGAATAACTATTCGCTAAATTTTTGCATACACTCGATTTTGCAATGAATAGTTATTTATTGTCTTAGGTTAGTTTGTTCCCCTTTCTTTTTTCCGCCGCACCGCCGCGTCCGTGCAATTTCATAATTTTCTTCGAACAGGCAATTCAAAGAAACTATTTGCACTAAGCAGCTCAAAAAAATACTTTCTAAAACAAACAAAATTCTGCCCTTATGTTGAATGAAAAAAAGTGTGCAGTGCCCAATTCAACATATGAACTCGTTATGCCCCTGTTTTTACATACAATTACTCACAGAAAATGTGAACAAAATTTTGTAACTTTGTAAAATTACTAGTGAGTTAAGTTTTATAATTGCCTAAAGATTATTGTTGAAATTTTCTACATTTTCTCCGTATATCATGAATTTTGAATTTATCATGATTATCACCTTAAAATAATCTGCTATTGACCAGTTTTATACCTTCTACTTCGTTTGTTCAGTAATTTCATAGTACAATTTTTCTACACGCTGTAAACTCCACCTCAAATGTTGAATCATTTGCCCCTTTGATCAACTCCAATTCTATCATGCCCCAATATCAATCGGTCCATCTCCATTTCCTACAACTCCTCTCCAAGTCCTTCCCAACATCATGCCGGGAACCCCATTCACGTTAACTGCATCTCTCCGCAGTCCTACCCCGCTCCTCAGCTACCTCCAAGTTCGAGGACGATCTTACTCAAAGCCATGGGATATTCTAGGTGAAGGTCGTGTTTGCTTGTAGTCCACCGGATCCATATCCTCATATTCGTATGTATTTTAATATACCACTAATTCAACTGTATGTTCTCGCCGTATATCACATGCTTACTTCAACAGCGCACGTTACTCGGAAGAACAAATCTATCTCCACTCTACACTACATTGCCTATGCCATATATCAACTGTTTTCGCCGTATATTACGTGCATATTCCAACGCAAGTTACCCGGAAGAACATCAACCACGCCAATGCCAACTACAACAGTCGAAACCCCGACTATGTCACAAGCTCGAGGACGAGCTTTCTGAAGGAATGGAGATGTCGGGACGCAGCTAGCTACAACAGCTGCTGAGAAGGAGGTTGGCCGAAGACAGCCAACCTCTGGCAGTGACCTCCGACCGCCGGCACTAGCCGATAGCCTTCCCCCTTCCTCTTCCCCCTTTTGTATATTACTATTTATAATAAACATTATAGTAAGCTAATGTAAACCCGCTACACATCAGATAAGGGAATCGCGAACCCTTGTACCTGACAGACTCGACGCTTACGTTGTTAGCTGAAAAGAGGAGGTCATAAAACCTATGATTATGACTGTTTCAGTTTCCAGTTCCTTGATTATTTGAGAAGGCTCAAAAATTGCAAAATTTAAGTAATTGTCTTCATTGGCTTCTAACACTCGAATTATCTCATACTAACCCACTAAAAAAGTGCAACTGTGATTTGCAAAAATTTTCCTTTCAAACAAGAATATTTGCACAAGTTTTGTGACCTTGCTTAAAAAATGTCATTTTTGAGTAATTTCTTCAACTGCTTCTCTTAACTTCAACTTTCAAATACTCTCATGCTAATCTTATATATAAAGCTGAATGTCTGTCTGTATGTATGTCTGTATGTCTGTCTGTACGTATGTGCGGAATAGAAATTTTTATTTCTGAACCGATTTGGACCAAACTTGGCACACATATACTTCGGGGCAGGGAGCGTGTCATAGGCTACTTTTCGTTGTCGATCGATATCGATTTTATCGATTTTTTGCAAAATTTGAGCTACGGGGCTGGGAGTTGGCACAGGGGGGTAATCGAGCATGCTGATTACGAATATAATAATGACAGGGCCGGGCGGAGCCGGGTTTGCCAGCTAGTCAACGATAAAGATACTGTTGTGAATCGCATTGTTTCCTCTTTCAAATAGGAATGATTTCAAGGGATTACATCGAGAATGAAGGAAGCTATGATTTTTCTGGCGAACGAAACAAAAATCCGAAGTGCAATAAAAGCTGACTGCTACATACAACAGAAGATTTCTACCTATAAGCTTCTAATTTAACACTTTTTTTAAACTACAACATTAACGTTTGATGTTCGCAATGGAGAACATCTGACTCAAACCGGAATCCATGTTCTTCGTGTAGCTTCCACGCGTGTCGTAAAAGTAGTCGCCTTTATGGTCCACGTACTCTTGTATCTCCACCTTGCCCAAACATTCACCTTCTTGAGTAGCGCAGTAGTCCGTAAACGTATACGCATTGTAAAAGTGGTAGCCAGTGACATTGTAGATTTCCCCGAGGTACAGGCGACGATAACCTAAATCTCTATTTTAGGTTCGATCGGTAAATTAGCACTACTTCTCTATTTATTTACGCGTCAAAGATCTTTTGCAGACATTTTTTGAATAATCGAACAAATAAGTAAAATAAATAATTTGTTGTCTAAAAAAATAACAGATTTCTTTGCCGCAAGCTCGTTATTCTGGGAGGGGTGGGGGGGGGGGAGAGAGAAAGGAGATAGGCTTCTATTCTAGCTGTGTGCTTACCTGGCCGCAGAGCAACGAATAGTTTTGCATTCGTGCACTTTTCATATGAAGCTTGAAATATGATTCTAGGGTAATCAGTGCACTTACCTGCTTTGTGAAAGGCAGGAACGGCCGTACAGTTTTTCCCTGGTTTTCTGGAAAAGAATAGCCTGCAAAAAGGAAGAAATTATAGAGAGTAGTATGAGAAGAAAACTGCTTTCCATCAAATCAATAAAAACCACCACTGACGTGATTCCTGTAGCTTCCCAGTTACTGGCAACCACAGTAGCGTTGGTCAAAAAGGAGCGATAGCGTTTCTTACGGTCGTAAGCTTAAATCACTGTTACATCTTGCGTAATATTGCATGTCACTGTTATAACATTTAAAATTCAAAACATTCAATATTCAAAAATATTCAACATAACATTCAACATTCACAACATTTAAAATTTTATCTCTCTACTGACCTCGGTCTAGGCGCGAATTTCAAATTTCTTCTAGCGGATAGCGGTTGATGGAGATGATAGAATCAATCAGTCAATTCATGTTTGTGGGTATTCAAAAAAAGCTCTCCAGCTCAAATTCCGCACAAAAAGCCAAAATCCATGCTGATGGAGGATCCAGAATCGATACTCATTTAAACCCAAAATTGTCCCTACTTCAGACTCAAAGTTCACAAAAAATCGTTGAATCTCCAAAAGGCAGGACCAATCGGCTTCAATGTCTAAGAATTGATCAGCGACAAATAAAACTGGAGAGCGCACTCGAACACAATGGTGAAATAGAAACAGCAAGCGACTAGCTAGCAGTCAAATTGCAGAAATTTAGCTACAGCGTAAATTATCAACGAACTTTTCCCACCAACACAAGACATACCACCTAAATACGAAGGTTTCTTCTATTTATCGCTTTAACACAGGAAACACGTACAGAAACGAAAGTTTATGGATCTTTCATTGCCTACTTTAGAGCCAATGTAATCAAGTTCAATGACATTGGACGGGTAGCTGAGTTTCTTCATAGTTACCTAAGCTCACAATTTGTGTATGAAACATCGGTAAGAATTCTATATGGTATTATTCACTGTTACAAAAAAAAATCGGGAGACGGTCAAAGCGCCAGAGGTCACCAGTTTAACGGGTGAAGTTAGAGCTGTACGAATCTTTTAGAAATGCCAGACAAGTGCTCTAGCTTATTACCTATCTGAAACCACCAACTTGTTGGTATAAACCTGACTGAAGTATTCAAAAAAACCCCAATATTTACATTTTTAAGGGTTTCTGACCTCCAACCCTTATGTTTTGAATTTATTTCAAAATGGTAAGATCGAGCAACCCATGGGACGATTATGCGTATTTTGTTAGAAAATTCAAATTGCTCCTACAAAATCATAAAATACTGAAAAGTCGCTAACTGGTGTCCATGTGGCAATAAAAATCAAGTCTCTTGACATACACCCAAAAAAGTTAAACTCCTCTTTGAGAACTTTGAGTACACATACTCTCCACATGGATGCTTCACAGATTTCTCCCAAAACTAATGAAGGGAGCTCGCACATCTCTCGCTAGGAATTTATCATAAATTTTTCTGCTGGCGTGAAAGGAATACCTGCACTACGTACATCGAAATTGAACAGAATTTTTGAACAAATCATAAAAATGACGTTTACACATGACAAGTAGATTTTTCCTCGACATCAAACAGTTTCGCGAGTGCTACTTTGTATGGCAAAGCCAAGGCAAAAGTACATACACATTCGAGTTTCAAAACTAACAAGGAGAGGATACTTAGTCGAAAGCGCCAATTTAGATGAGACTTATACCATCTTAAAGCGCTTGAAACGCTGATTCCAAATCTGCAGTTTCTAGCTGCGGAACGGTTTTGTAGAGGGAGTTATGAGGGGTGTTTCCCTCTGTGGTCATGGCGTCCTCCACTATTTCTCCCCTACTATAAGCACTGTAGAGGAGTACCAACTGGTGGCAACTGGCCTAGTGGTAAGTAATTTGCTTGATAAAGAGAGTGTCAAGGTTCTAATCTTTTTCGCATGCAACTTTATCGCAGTTTTTGCAAAATTGAGCTTCTAAATTGCTTCAAAGCTCTAAAGCTTGAAATTTTTGATGATATTGATGCTATAGAAGTGTTAGAAAGCCAAAGTAATACGAGTATTATGGTCCTTACTGTAATCTTCATTCAAGTTACTTACCAGGCCAGTTGCCACCAGTTGGTAGTCCTCTACAGTGCTTATAGTAGGGGGAGAAATAGTGGAGGACGCCTCGACCCCAGAGGGAAACACCCCTCATAACTCCCTCTACAAAACCGTTCCGCAGCTAGAAACTGCAGATTTGGAATCAGCATTTCAAGCGCTTTAAGATGATATATGTCTCATTTGGATTGGTGCTTTCGACTAAGTATCCTCTCCTTGTAAGTTCCAAATTGAACGTGGAAGCCTCCAAAAAGCATTCGAAAAGGTTTTCTCTAGTGGAATCTGTATCTTTGTCAGGCCCACATCATTCAGAAGACTGAAGTAAAATTCATTTTAGCTTCATAAAAAAAATTTATCCCCTTTTTCTGAAATTTTGGGGTCATGGGTCCGCGAAAATTTTAAGAAGCATATTTTTCTGGGTGCATGCTAACGCCACGCACCCTTATCGGAAAAAATTTTCTGTCGCCCCCCCCCCCTCTCCCCCCCGAGCCGAAATCCTGGGTACGCCACTGGTATCGGGTGAAGATGTCTAATTTTCTGATGGTGATTATATCTTATTTTCTGGTGGTGAAGATGCCAAAGTCTGGTTTAAATGGTTTAAGAAATGTCGTCGAAGTAAAAATAAGAACTTTTTTTCTATTTATTACTGAGGACCATTAACTTACGATCCTGGGGTATCATTGAAAGTGTGTTGAGTGTAGATTAATCCCCACTTCTGTAAACCGGGTGAACCCTCAAAAAAGCAATTGGTGTAGAAATTTGGTGTGATACAATTATTTTTTTGGGTTACGCACAGCACTGCGAATAGTTTAGAAAGAAATATGTCATCCTTGGCTTGGAAAAATTTCGCGGCCTTTTTTTGGAAAAAGAAGGTTATTAACCTGAAAGTTCGGATTCTTCATTGCAATTCATAATTTTGCATGTGATCATTTACTATGCTATGTATTGCGCTGTGCTCTGTTACACCATCTAAACTCCACGGACCTGTTGAGTCGGTGAAAATTGAATTTCGACTTTGAGTTGCTAGAGTATGGTGCTTTTACATCCAATCCACGAACGTTGATGCAAAAGTATGTTCGTTTTTTTTGCGCTTTAAAAATATGACGTGCCAACTCGGAGGTATATGCATTCCCTCGTCCATTCGTGTCCTTGTTCGAAAGTATCAAATATAGAGTAAAAAACCAAAAACGCGACATTTTTGTATCTTCGGAATAACCTTGTATATTTTTGACCGAAAACTCGACGAGTCGATGTTTCTAATTTTCCACTGTACAATGATCAAGTGATTTTTATAGAATTTTTCAAGAGGAGATCAGATATTTTGAACTGAGCGTTTATTAGACGTTGATATCTAGCTCAACATGGACTCCGGTTCTAAGGACAGCAGTAGCGTGAAAGTGTAGTTATTTTGCCCAAAATCTGAAACGCTTCATGCATAGAATAGCGTAGCATATAACATAGTAATGGTAGTATAATGTTTTTTTTAATTCAAAGAAACGATGCTTTAAAAATTTTTTATTCTGGAATACAGTTCGGCTAAATTTTAGCTGAGTGCGCTAGAGATGGGCCGGAAAGCGTCACAATGGCAGCAACTCTTCTTTTTGTAATTTTTTTGCACCTGCTTTACAGAGTCTTCGATCCTCTTATTTGTTGTGTACAAGATGATGACATTCCACGCAGGAATTACTAGCGCATATGCGATATCGGGTGTTTGGAAAATGATGGTCTTGCGAACTAGTCTTGTTCCTGCTTGCGGGCCGGTTGGATAGTGATACCATCCATGGTAGAAGTGTTAGGATCGACGCTTTTGCCAATCGAAGCTCAACAAAAGATTTTTTAAGTTATAAATCTCTGAATTATTTGAGTAGACTTTATTTGAGCTAAATGTTTCATTAACAAATCTAAAGCCAATGTACCATATTGAGAAAATAGCCGTGCAAATGCATCAAACTTTTATCTTCAATCGCAATTCAAAAGAATTTTGAAAAACGTTGGCAACATCTAACATCTGATAATCTGCTATGCAGCTTTTATGTAGCAGTTTTTTATCATATGAGTGCTGTCAAATGAGAAAAACTGCTTGAGATCAAAGACTTCTGTATGGGCCACGAGGGACGAATTGCCTAGGATTGTAACGAGGTGGTGGTAATAGTTTATAAGTCCTATAGATGGCATGGACGACCTTTCCTTGCACTGCAAAAAGTACATAGGATATTTGATGTTGCAAACCGTATTTGCAACTCACCACAAGTGCTGCAGATGTACAGAAAGGCGATAAAGACGATCAGAAGAAACTTCATGATCTGTCAGTGGAGAATGGTGATCTTGCTGCCTAGGATGACTTATATACCAGGGCACTTGACTGTAAAAACTTCCAATTTGCCAAACTTTGATGAACAGGCCTTAAAATAAGACGAGCATAAAATTCTGGTTCTGAAGAAATTGGCGAAGATTTTATTAGAAAAAATTGACCATTAGCTGACCACACAAATCTAAAAGTGCAAAATAACGAAAACAACGAAGTGCAAATCAAGAACTTTTGTTACTAAATGTTCCTTCGCGATGACCTCATCAATGCAGCATAGAATTTACACCATGTTTTAGAGCAAAGTGAATAAGAGATTGTTTTGATCTTGCGCGAGGGTGAACCACTGAAGTATCACTTGTAAGTAGTGCTCTCAAACCTGTTCTTGTGCGAAAAAAAGATAGTCTATATGCAGCGCAATAAATAGCCTTTAAGTACTTCGTCTGATGTGTTGTACGTATAAAATGAACTGCCCAGAAGCTTATAGACTATAAATGGCTTACCCGGCTCCGCCCGGCCCTGTCAATAATATATTTGTAATCAGCATGCTCGATTACCCCCTGTTCCAACTCCCAGCCCCGTAGCTCAAATTTTGCAAAAAATCGATAAAATCGATATCGATCGATGACGAAAAGTAGTCTATGACACCCGCCGGGGCCCGAAGTGTATGCGTGCCAAGTTTGGTCCGGATCGGTTCAGAAATTTTCTATTCGGAACATACGTACACACAGACAGACAGACAGACAGACACTCAGACAATCGCTGGGGGCAGGCGGGCACCGGAAAAATAGATAGCTGATTTCTCGCACCCCCCTCGCGGATTTTTTGGAAAGCAATCAGGACTTTCCGGAAGACCGCTTGCTGAGTCAACGGATTTTTGAGAGACCGCCTGTTGAATTTTTTTTCCGCTCTTATCTTTTGCAGATATATTGCTGAAACCTCTGAGGAATCGAAAACTCAGCAAGCAGTCTTCCGATAAGTCCTGATTGCTTTCCAAAAAATCCGCGAGCGGGGTGCGAGAAATCAGCAATCTATTTTTCCGGTGCCCGCCTGCCCCTAGCGATTGTCTGAGTGTCTGTCTGTCTGTCTGTCTGTGTGTACGTATGTTCCGAATAGAAAATTTCTGAACCGATCCGGACCAAACTTGGCACGCATACACTTCGGGCCCCGGCGGATGTCACAGACTACTTTTCGTCATCGATCGATATCGATTTTATCGATTTTTTGCAGAATTTGAGCTACGGAGCTGGGAGTAGGCACAGGGGGGTAATCGAGCATGCTGATTACGAATATAACAGGGCCGGGCGGAGCCGGGTAAGTCAACTAGTTCGTCATAATGCTGTGCAACTGCACAGTCGGGGTGCTCATAGCAAGCTCTCAAGCACTGGGCCATGCTCTGCGAATAGAAATGAAAGATAGAGCTTCCATGAGAAGCATGAGGGTTGAAACGGAGCACGCCAGAGTTGGAGGTCTGAAACTTAGTGTACCAAGAAGCTTTTTATCATTCAAACGAATTGGTGCTTAACATCCTTGCTGAAATTGTAAGCAAGAAGATAAGTGTACTTGACGGCATCTTGTCAGTGTAAATCTTGGTTTTGGTGCGTACAGGTACGGGTAATGCGAGACTAATCGTGCTAGAGACAATCCCCCATCCGTAGTGCCTTTTTCTCATTTAGCAAAGTATGGTTCCATGCAACCGCTGTGAAAACAATGGCCTCTGTTAACACGTTTCGGACCGGTGCTGCACATGGTGCAGCACGCTGCTTTGAAGGTTCTTTCTGACGTTTGCAGGAGGTTTTCTTTGAATCCGAAGTTATTGAGTCAAAGCTCTGAGCTCTTACTTTTTGAATGACACTGTAGAGCTGAGCCGCCGATATTTGTTTACGAGATATGAGGACAAATCGAACAACAGTTGCAACGAAGTGCGGCAACGCGAACGACGCGTGCGACGTCGCAACTTTTCCTTTCTCCAATTTCAAAGAGATAAACCGTAGTTTCAATATTGACGAGTACAGTGTACAACATAGATACTTTTAGATACTATTTGAAACTGAGTTCTTGCTCCCATCTTTCAAGAAAACACAAGAGTCCCTCTCAAGCGACAAAATTCAAACGCTTCGAATTCACCCAGAACTTTGTATATGGAGCTTATCTGGCATGCTGATTACAGATGTAGTCCACAGGCGGCCAAATAAGGTTCCTTTGCTGGCTAACGGCCAAACGTACACCCTTTTTCGCCGCGCGCGATTTCGCGGTCCGAAACGTGTTAAACATGGACAGCTTCGTAAATTACTGGAAATACAACGCTTTACATTGCCACATTTCTGCGATAAACTTTTGTTTTTGGACTTTAAAGTAGCAGTCAGAAAGAAATGGACATTTGCAAATTCTGCACCCTATTGAGCTATCTTTGCTTATCCCTAAAGAATGTAAAACTGATTGTGAGGAGGTATAATGTTCGGACTCATCCTTAATGATGACCGTCACCTCATGCGTGCTTAGCTTTGCACAATATCAAACCGACAATGAAGCACATTTACGAAAAGTAACATGCTTATTTATCGATCCAAAGTACTCAAACGTAAAGATATTGCATGATTTGATATGAACGACGTTTCTTCAGTAGGCGAATTCTTCTGAATGACAGCAGTTAATGTGTGGCAGTGAACCGCTGAATAGAATGCCGTTATTCAAATTTAATTTGGGGTCTCTAAGCGAAAATTAGCAGATGGTAACGTCAAACTTCGACAAATTGGAGTCTGGTATATAGAACAGAACCAAATTCAAACCCATGTCATTTCTCTTTTTTGAGCATTGGACCAACTGAAACATGCAGGGTTTTACAAAATTATACAGGGTGTCCGTAAAGTATGTATGCACTGTTTGATCGTTAATATCTCCGTTCCCAGGGGGTCTTTTGCCGAGCTTTAAGCACCATACTGTAGAGCTGGCTTCAACTTAGATTTACAGTATGGAGCGAATCAGCATTACTCACTGTTACTGTAGGATTACGGTAGAAACTTGAAACATATGGTGTCAAAGTGGAAAAAGCTGTCGTTTCAAAATTTTTCAAAAAAATGTGAAAACTTGTGTAATAGGGTTTTTATGGACGCTGAGTTCAATACTCAACTATTCACAAGATTGCGAAGCTTTCTAAACGGTGTAAACGCACTTTTTAGGAACATTGAAAAATGGCCGCTACCTCTTACCTGGCATAACTCTTCAATGAAGCATCATAATAAGTTGAGAACTTCACAATTAGAATCAGCAACTCTAATTAGCCTAGTGTAAAAGTTTTCAGGCTGTTTTGTTTCCTTTCTGAGGCAAAATATGGCCTTTCATGGCTCAAAACCCTCTTTGAAGTTCCTACCATAATCCTACAGTAATGAGAGGAGACCGGCGATTCGCTCCATACTGTAAATCTAAGTTGAAGCCAGCTCTACAGTATGGTGCTTAAAGCTCGGCAAAAGACCCCCTGGGAACGGAGATATTAACGATCAAACAGTGCATACATACTTTACGGACACCCTGTATATGGATGGTTTGATCGTCAAATTCTCTGCTACTACAACGTCTTTCGCAATCTTTAGAAATCAATTAGATTTGGTGTCAGCTTAGATCTGCAGTATGGAGCGAATTACCATTCCCTTCTCATTATGATGCTAATCTGGTAGAGTGTAGGGAGCGTTTGAGATATTCGGAGCTACATATAAAGTGTGTCCCAAAAAATGTGCTCACCGTTTGATCTTTACTCTCTTGCTTGAAGACTTTTGCCAAGTTCAAGATAACATTCTGTAGAGCAAAGCTAAAATTCAGTTCAAAGCACGGAGTGAATCTGTTGCTGACTCACTTTCTTGTTGCAGTAGGATTACGGTAGGAACTTCGAGAAGGATTTTAGGCCATTCAAAGCGACATTTCGCCTTAGACAGAAAACTAAACAAGTTATAAACTCTTGTCTGGGCTGAGTGAAGTCGCTGACTTCAAGTATGAAATTTGTACTTTACTGTGATTCTTCTTTCATAAGTTGATTCAGATTTAGGATAACAACTATTTTTCCAATGTTTGTCAGAAATGTGGTTACACACTAAAAAAGCTCGAAAAGACGGTAAGAATTTGTGTAGTGGAATCTGCACGCCTGTAAGCTTCAAAGCAAATTTTCGAGTTTTCTGGAATTATTTCATTAAAATCCCTATCCCACGGCGCTGTATGCTGAGAGTTCATACTGTAATCCTACAGTAATGAAAGACGATTGGTGATTCGCTCCACACTGCATTTCTAAGTTGAACCTCGCTCTACAGAACGGTACCTCAAGCTTTTTAAAAGACTTGAAAGCAAGAGAGTTATCAACAATCACTTAGCGTGACATCCTCTATTTGCCTCAAAAAGAAAACCGAGACAATTCAACCTCTTAATCTGGGCTTATCAGCTTCTGCTTTAAATATGAAACCTATAGTTTGCCGTAATGTTTGCTGCAAGTTATTCCAGATTGTTAGCCGTAACACTAATAGCCTCTCAGTAATCATCAAAGAACATCATTTGAAATGCTCACAAACTTGTAAAATGTTGAAATGATATCAGCGCTCGAAAGACATAAGAGGAACAGAGATGTGATTAGTCTAGGACATCTCAGCATGAAGTCCATTGGAAGACTGACCGTTAAAATTTTGAAAAACCTGCAAAATTGTGTAACAAGGTTTTCAAGCATGCTGATTCCATTACACAACTGTTTGCGATTTCCAAACTTTTTTGGTTTTTTTGATGCATTAATCGCATTTTTGAAAAACAGTGGAAAAGCAATTGTTACGGTCTACCTAAAAACATTTTATGGAAGAAGCAATACTGCAATCAGTTTATTTCATATTGAATTCAGCTATTCCTATTAGTCTGATATGAGAGTTTTTGGCTTCCTTGATTTCCTCTATCATAGCAAAATGGCTCTTAACGTAGAGCCTTCTTCGAAATCCCTACCATATTATTACAGTAACAGGGAAGTAGGAGGTTCG